GGACGGATGAGGACGAAAGAAGGAGAACACAAAATCTTATGATCGATATCTTAATCGGTTGCCTCTCCATAATCGTCATGAAAGTGCAGCTGATTTCACAGTTGAATTTGAGAAAGACTGTGTTATTAATATACAACAAACTGTCCAAAGATGCCTTGCGCAGTGCGGTTTGCATGCACATCGCCCCAAGAAAAGCCTTTACTTACAAAGAAAACAAATTTTGGCGAATTTCTTGGGCAAAGGAGAATCTTTCATGGAAAAGGCTCAGTGGGACTTAATAATGTTTTCGGATGAATCTCAGTTCAACCTACATAGAGCGGACGGTAAACTGTGTATCTGAAGGTGTAAAAGTGACGCCTATCATCCAGTTCGCAAATTGCCTGCTGGGAAATTAACAGCCAGCCAAATGATCTGAGGATGCGTATACAACAAAGGAGTTGAAAGCCTGAAATTTATTTCTAGTATTGTGAATGCATCCATTTATACCACATCTTGGAGGAATGCTTACAGTTTCATTTTTTAAAGTCAGGCACCATTTTAAAGGTGCTGGAAATTGCATTTTTCATCAGGATCTCCCCCCTGTCATACAGCGAAGTCGGTAAGAACGATCTAACTTACTTATGCACGATTTTCTTGCTTCATTTTCAGATTTTTATCTACATAACACAATAGATATTAAAAAGATAATTTTGCGCACATTTCCACCTTTTAGTGCAGGACTTTTTCACAAAATCTGATATTAAAATTTTCGATTGACCTGAGAATGATCTTGATTTGAATCTCAATGAAAACTTGTTTATACTAAGATTTTAGCAGTTATCTTTAGTTAAAGCTACTTTACTTTCCCTCCTAATTTCAGCTTAGAATTTCCTACCAGAATGTTTTTTTTTAGAATCGCGGTTAATGCAAATGAGTAAGAGCGGTATTTAAGTCGAAGTTCCACTGACTTCGTTAGAGAGCCAGAGATTCTGACTAACGTGCGTTCGCCTTTTGGCTGTACTCTCTCTAAGCTGTTACTACGCTCGGCCGTATTTTTGGCCCTTGATAGCTTTCACCAGTCTAGTTGATATTTAGGGGCCAACTACTTAGAATTTTGATAGCTTCAGCTATATATTTTAGTTAAGCATTAGTTAAGTTTTATATCACAATTAGCTGTTAGAACCCCACAAATTGTTGGCATGTAATGGGTCCCAAAATTGCTGCTACGAAGCCTGCTACTACGATTAAAGTGCAGGAATGCATTAATAGGATTTATATCCATGAAATTGGTGAGGATTACGTATAGAATTTAATGTCTTCTATGCCTGAACACTGCAAGGCTGTCATCGCAGCGCGTAGAGGATTACTAAATATTTAAGTGATCCTGTTGCATCGATACACATCGGAATACATGTAATATGATTGCTGTTATGTAAAATTTGCAACAGCTACATAATTTATTAGTTTGTTTCGCGTTTCATTAAATATTGCATTTTTTCCTTTTCTGTGTTATTCAGTGTAAATAATTTGTCAATCCTAATAAAACTTGATTAAGATTATCCCCATAGTTTTATTTTATTCTAAAAGTATGATCTTTATATAAAACGTATACATGAACACATTATTTGCATATTTTTCTACTTTTTTCGTAGGTGATGCAGTTTTTATGTCCTCCACTTATATATATATCATTTTCATAAATTTTTAAAGCTCTTAGATATAAGTCATTAAGGAGCGTTTAGCAATCTTGTTATTGGTGAAAACTCTTATTTTATGAACGAGTAAATTCAATTTGGCATCAATAAAGTTCTTATTGAGATTATGTGAGGCAATTCTTAAGTAGTATACTATGAAAATATAACTTGCATTTAAACTTGCGTTTTGAAATGTTTCTTAAACAGATATGATATTAAATACTCTTAAATGACACAAGCAAATTTATTATAGCTAATGAATATCTAACAGGTTTTTCAAAGTATTATGAATTAATAGGATTAACTTGAGCACAGAAATTTTCTTTAGAATTAGCGTATAGTTTTGAATGAAAAATTATAAAGATGGTCTCATTAATTAAAAGATTTTAAAGTGGTTACAACCTATATGGGCCGTAAAACCTACAGCATAGGGATCTTTTAAGTAATGAAAAAAATCGCTTGTCCTGGTGCATCCGGAATTTTTTTGGTCTAAGAAAGAGGGCTAACAAGTATATCGTCCGAATTTGAGAATTTCTAAAAGTGGTTCTCATCCTTTATGCAAATTAAGCAAAAATCTGTGGAAACACTTCTGTAAAGTGAACTAGCTTAGGTAATTAGGATTCAAGAATTCTGACAAGCATTGCTTAACGAATATATTTGGTCGAGAACAAAACGCAAAAAGTACAATTAGTAACAATTAGTAAAAACGGAAGGATTTAAGGATGACTGGCTTCGTTTTCGACCCCGATAAAGGAATAGATTAGTTGATTGAAGCTTCTTCTGCAGGTACACTTAAATAAGCCCTCTCGTTCATCTTTGGTACCAAATTGGCTAGAGAATAGGAGTTAGCATCTCGAGAACAACTTAAACTGCCTTAAGTCTTGCATGTGTAGTTAATTCACGAACCAGAAACGATTATAATTTATTTTTAGTAAAATTTAAAATAAATCATTTTTTCCGGGAATTTTTATCTTATGTTTTTAATTTCATAGATAGAGGAAAGTGATAAATAAATCACTGATTTTCAAAGGAAGAACATTATTCTTCCTAATCAGTCTAACAACGGAGTATGTGACGCCAACTTTCTATCAAGGTGCTCTTCTGACTTATCTAGTGGGGTAAGATTATATTTAATTTATAAAAATTTATCTTTGATAGCTTTATTTAAAAAGTGATCTTTGTTATCAGTTCATATATCGAGCTGGGTTAAATCCCCAAAATTTAATAAATTAAATTAGAGATGCCGAAACGTTTTCCTTTTGAAGATTACATTTTGATCGATAATCTGGCGCAAAATGTCTACTGCGATCACTAAATAGCTGTATGTGCAAAAAATCCAGAATGAATCTTCAGGTGTTAAACAAAAGAAAATTTATATCGAATTAAAAAAATTAGCATCGCATATTATATTATCATTGCACACACTGCGGTGCAGAAAATATTTAAACAGCAAACTCTTGTGTACGCAAATAAGACAGAAGTGGGCAGAACTTAGCTAGAGAAAATATTTCAAAATTTAGGTTAAACAAACAAGTAGATAAATCAAACAAAACCCACACAGTTAAAAAAATATGTTGATTAATTGATGAAGCATGAGAAACATGCTTCAGCAATTAATCAACAAACCGTCATTAACGTGTTATAATTAACCATTATGCTATGATTAACTGATGAAACTTATGACTTTCATTTACAATAATAATATTAAATATTTACCAAAGAAAGTCAGATAATTTTTTTATCTAATTCTAAAACTAATTTTTTTGCTTTTATGCGAGGTTCATGCCACTATTTGGTTTAAATATGCATGCTTTAATTGCAAATGCCTCTATGCCTTAATTGATATTGCCATGTAAACAATTTTTAAATTTTTGGTTTCAGTATTGAAGACTGAATTTCCAACAGTAAGTAGCAAGTCGATGTCTTCATTGGATATTATTTTACTCTTAAGAATAATATATACGTAACCCCGTTAGATTTACACTTTTAATTAAAATGGCACCTACCAGCAATCTAAGACATTGTGAATATTTCTTATATTTAAAAGTTTGTTAAGTGAATGTATGCTATGTGCTATAGCATTATGCAGCCGAAGAAGGAGTGTATAGGGTCATTTAAAAAGCCCATGATATTACTGATATATTTCATTAAACTCATATGTAGAATATCATATGTCAACTTTGGGCTGCCAGAAGCCTATATTCGAAGGGAGGAATACGTTATTCAAAATTTGATGTCTTTAGGTGCCGTTGTTTTTTCACAGTGCAAGAAACATGCATACATTCACGCAGACTCTTCATTATTTAATTTCTTTAAATATAATTCAGGGCTCTAATATTTGTTGGCAACAATTTGAAAAGTAAAACGCCATTTGTAGTCAACCAACGCAAAGTGCCGAAACGAAATTTATAGCTTGTAAGGTTTATCCTAAGTTTTTATCAATTATCTTTAATTGAAGCTACTTACCTGCCCCTTCTAATTACAGCTTACAATTTCCTACCAGAATTTGTTTTTAGAGTCGCAGTTAATGCAAATGTGTAAGAGCGGTATTTAAGTCGAAGTTCCACCGACTTCGTTGGACAGCCAGAGATTCTGACTAGCGCGCGTTCGCCTTTCGGCTACACTCTCTCTAAGCTATTACTACGCTTGGCCGTATTTCAGGCCATTGATAGCTTCGCCAGCTTTCATGATATTTAGGGGTCAACTACTTAGAAATTCATGATAGCTCCGGCTTTACTTTTTAGTTATGCTTTAGTTAAGTGCCATTTCTTATTACTTTGAGTTTAAGCCCAAGTGGAGGCTTTGCTTTAGAAAGGGATCATCTGTAATTCTTATTTTGAGAAATAAAGTATAATTAACTCTTCTTGAGTTTTACGTATCAGTTTCTGACATAAAGCGATTATTCGCTGACGTGTTCACGAGGTTCCTACAGACTTAGCTGTTAGATGAAAGGTTAGGATTCCACAAGCCCTTCTGGGCAAATCGCCCCTTTGGGCTAAAACAAAATAATATAAGATACGTCCGTCATTCCGAGCTTCTTTGCCTTGAAAGTTTTCTTTTCATTAAAAGTACTACTAAGTAGTTTTGTGCCTGTTTTCTCATTCTTCTTAAAATCCTCCATAATCACACTGTCTTCATTCGCATCTGCAGAACAATTGTTTTTTTCATTCCTTCGCATGTGAAATGACCAGCTTGTTTAAAGAATTTAAACTAGATTATAAATGAAATAGTAATCAAATATGTTTAGATTATTGATATAACTTGATTTAAATACCAGCACAATCATTTCCATCACATTCATTAACTTAAATTATTGTTAGTTCTTACCTTTTTAACGATCCATATCACTTTAATGTAACAAAAGCTCATGATGGCCACTGGTAGGATGTAGCCAAGGACGAAGATATAGGCAATAAAGGCGGCATTTAGTGTATCAGCTGTTTGCCAGTCTAAAGAACAGGCAATGCCAGGATGCTCCACTATGTATCTGTTCCAACCAAATAAGGGAGGTAGAGCCTGTGCCAAAGAATAAGCCCATATGACAATGATGGTCGCAGTTGCGGAGACTGTAGACAAGGCTTGACCACGGAAAGACCGGGAAATAATAATATAACGATCAATGGCGATTGCTGCTAAGGTGCCAATGGCTGTCATACCTTTAGGAGAAAAAGAAAGCAAAGTGTTGGAAAGCAGTGGAACAGTACGTGTAAAGGAATTATTCACATATTTGACTTATATTAAGAAGTAGGTTTCTGTTGAGATATTTAAAAAAATTACTGAATAGTTACAAAAAATATTTATAAAAAGATACTGGTACCATAACTGAGCAACGGTACCATTAATAAGCGCTAGTTTCTAGTTTAATTGATTGCATATTTGTTTTACATCAATCAGACTAACACCTTGTGAACAATATTAAATCTGAGATATATGAGAACCTCAGGAGGGCCTGTACCGGAGTCAAATAATTACTAAATTCGAATGGTGAACTAAATTTCGTAAAAGGGTTCCACATTTAAAAACACGAGCATTTTTATATTGCTTTCATTTCACAGGGAACGTAATTTTAGCTTTTATTTATTTACTTTCTTTATAATTATTGCTATTGATCATTTTGTTTTGTGTTTTATTTCATCCATCTCTGAGTATCCAAATGCGTGGTTTTTGTAAACGGAGTTGTGTGATACAACTCAGTAAGAATATGAGAGTTTAGTACTGGAAAACGCTCATTAATTTTTAAAGCTTGGTTTACACCAGCGTTTCTGCTGTTCAAATGTTACACAAAAAGCCTTTAAGTCGTGGAGCTAATGGGGATTAACTAATATTCAACACGTAATTTAATTTAGGCAAAAAATACTAAAAAAGTCGTGGAGCTAATGTGGATTAGTTAGTATTCAACACGTAATTTAAGTTAGGCAAAAAAGACTTTTAAGTCGTGGAGCTAATGTGGATAGTATTCAACGCGTAATTTAAGTTAGGCAAAGAGATATTATAAGGTATTTCCTCCCACCTTTCTTCATACCTTCGTGGTGTAACGGTAGCACACTCAGAGCGCATTCGACAGGTCCATGTTCGAGCCCCCGCGAGAGCAATGCTCATTTTGCATATCTCCAGCATCAAAATAACCTAATGACTCTACAGTAGCACTCGAACTAAAAGGTGGTGGATGATGATTCTTCATCACTAGGATTTGGCGACTGAGTCCCCTAATTCCTAGTCGCCCTTTAAAAGGGGGAGTGAATAAGGTAGGTTTCCGTTTTTTCTGCACGGCTTCGTGGTGTAATAGTAGCACACTCGGCGCGGATTCAAGAGGTTCAGGTTCAAACCACGGAGAGGGCATTGTACATTTTTCGCATCTCCTGCTTCAAAATAATCTATTGAGTCTATAAGATAACATAACTTTTTAATTCATATTAAAAACCCGAAAGATTTTATTTCACTTTAAATTATATTAATATTCACTTTATTCAATATATTAATATTTCACTTTAAATTATAATTTAAGCATTGTGCAGAGTGCAAGTAATGAATAATTATATTTTATAAACAATTTTGTTAATAAACAAAAATTTATTTCAGGTTTTTAGTTTTATGCAGTATAATGTTCCTCGGAGAAAATTTGATGCATAGAGTTTAAAAGGAGTGTTTTGAGTACCAGTGCGGCATAATAAAACTATGTTTACTCTATAATTGCATAAAAATTACTATCTGTCCTCAAAATACAGACAACATTTATATAAATAGTTTGTTTTCCTCATAATTTAAAGAACTGTAGCTGTATAGCTATCTGTGTCTCGCTCTCTGCATGTATACTATATGATAACATATGTTTTGTAGTATATGGTACATACCTATATATATGCACGCACACACGTATATATATAGGTATGTATTGAAGTATTCATATGTGCATACAATTTCGCTAATCATTTTTAAGTATTAACTCGGTAAACATAAATGCAGACGAAAGAATATCTTCCCTCCTGACTTCTTAACTAGGAGTAAAAGTACAACAATATTAAAAGCCACATAAAAACATTTATAATAAAGTTGATCTGACTATCACACAAACTAAAATCAACATAAAGAAAATTTCAGGTAAATTGTGAGTAGATTAACAGCTACTGAATACAAATTCGGGTTAAACGAACACCAATTCACGATGCTAGTAAACACTGATATTTGCAAAGAAGAGTGTTGCAGCCGTTTTTGACTGTTTTTGCGCGTTCACACGCAATTCCGAGTTACTTTGGCATAAATTTCTCTTATTCCTTTTATGTACACTTAGGTATGACTTTACGCGCTTCTGCATGCGACTTTCACATTAATTTTTCTTTTATTCATGATTCAATTTTAACTAATATTGATTGTTTAGCAGTATTTTCAGGCTTTTACTTTTGAATTTATATATGGAAATTTTACAGTACTATGAAATGTGGATTTAATATTATAATGTGTAACGCCTTATCTTTAATGTTATAATGGTAATGTGGATAAACATGGGATTTGAGCCCAAAAAGCATTTTTCTAAATTTAATGTTATAATGTATAACGCCAAAATAGTTCTAGTACTTCCTGCTTCTTGAAATTACTGGAAGGCGTATGGGGGCCGAATTACTATTACAGCTGCTCAGAACATCGATTGCAGTAATTCAATTACTTTGTCTATTACTGCGATACAGGGACTGGACCAAAATGTCGCCAGATAGTCGCCAAGGTTGGCGACTTTTGGCGATTTCTCGCTAATTAGCCAGATATCCATTTACTCAATGTTAAATAGACTTGCCTCTGTGTTCTTACTTTTCCGGCAAGCTTCGCTCCTTTAGATGCTATTTTCCATGTTACATTATACAAAAGAAATAAAACAATTTATCCAAAATTCTCTATCTATGTAAAAATTCGTAATATTACATTTAATTTAGAGTTAATTTTAAAATAGCCGTTAGCAACTAACGAAGACTACCTTTCAATTTCATACTTTGAGAGACATTTAGATCTTAAGCATCTCCCATTTCTTTATGTTGCCTCTCTCGAGTCCACCAAGTAATCACCACTTTCGCCCTTTGTTTAAAATGAAGCCATTAAGTCATAGCTGATGAATACTGCTCTCTGTCAGAAACCACACTTTTTTAAACAACATTTCTCACCCGAAACTATGCATGGTTTTTTAATGCCAACATATTATTAGTGGCATAATTAGCATATTTTATTTGGTAACCTATGCGTAGAGTCCAATTTTAAGTTCAGCGGTCAATAATTTGTTTGTTGATACTGATTAGAAACTTAATCAGGACGCATATTTTTTCGGATTGTTCTTTAATTTCGATTAGCAGTGAAGATTTAGACGACAAATTTTTAAATCAGATGCTATTAATGCAGTTGAATAGAAAAAGAGAATTTAGAATTTAAAATTTAATTTTTTGTTTGAAACTAAAGGGTTATAGCTTTAATGGTAAGGAAAAGATTTAATATAATATACGTTTTATAATTTTAAATTGCGAAAACAGTGCACAGAATAGAATAGTCATAACTGTTGAATACTTGCTTAAGTCAAATTTGAATTTGCATTGCTTTGTAAAAAATATTATTATTGGTTTCGAAGGCATAATGTGTAAAGTTCCTTTTCATTTCAGAAGGTAGTTAAACAATTATTTAAGAAACGACCTAGAAATGAGTAAAATTATTTCATAAAATTAACGTCATATAATTTCAATTTTTGCTTAATTTACTCGTTACCAAAATGCGGTGTTATATCCATTAAAGATATACATTACAGTAGAGTTCTAAGGAAAAACAATACCTATGTACATCACGCTGATTATTACAGAGAGTAATTCGAAATCTATAGAGCAGTATTTAGTTATCTGTATTTTAGGCTGTAGTAATTTACTGGATTAAATAAGATGTGAAACAACGCAGATATTTCTGCCAAAGTTGTCAGATAAATTGTTTGGAAATATTGCATCTGTGACCTCGAAACGATAAAGGAAGCGCAGTATTCTTGCAAGATAACAAATCTGGAGCAAAGAGGAAGGAAGAAAGTTCAGGTATATAAAATTTAATGCAGAGAACATTAGATGCGGAGCAAGAGATAAAACAGCACTTCCATCCACAACTGGGTGAAAAGAGAATAGGAAGCACTTTTCTGATCTGGAAAACTAAGTTGGTTCTTGGCAGTTTTTTTTTAAGATCTTCGATTTCAACCTCTAACGATTCTAATTTTTTCTAATGCCGATGAGTAATCTTATGCTGTCCCTGAAGGACACTACTGTTTTCGTTGGTTCACAATAAATGCTTGTTTCACTTTTCAAACTGCTGCCATTAAATGTTGGAGACCTGCATTATATTTCAAGAAATTAAATAATAAAAAATCTGCATAAATGGATGTATACTTCTCGCAGTGTGATAAAACAACGGTACATAGAGCCATCGAATTTTGAATGATGTAATCTACTGCGAATATGGGCTAGTAGAAGCCCAAATTTGAAATTTGGAATTTGTTTTATTTTCGATTTCATATTTTGTAAAACTTTAACCAATTTTTCATTAACAAACTCAAGTATTTCAAAGCGAGCAATAGCGATGTTGTACAGAAAAAAGCATTTTTATATCCAGCGCGCGAGTTTCTGTATCGGAAATTCTAAAGGATATGCTCATTTTAAAACTATTTTGCGATATTACTGTTGAACTAAATTTTATGGTTTAAGTGAGAAGAACGTGATATTTAATAAATAAATGTAACACACAAAATGTTAAAAAAAGCCTCTTTGGATGTAATTTAAAATCTGAAACTTTTCAAACTTTTTATTTTACTTTATTTATTTTTTTTTGGCCAATGGTGGGCATTTGCCTATAAGGGCATTATAAAATATTTCCATTTAAATTGCTTAATTTTTAACCCGATATGAACGCAGTCAGCTTTCGTATAACTTTACCTCGACTCGCTTTGAAATTGTTTAACTTTTTTCAATCAAAATTCATTAAAAATTTAAAAAAATATCAAATACATAATAAAGCAAGTTTGAAATTCAAAATTCGAGCTTAGAGGTGCACATATTCGGGTAGGACAACGTTACTCAAAATTTGAGGGCTGTAGGTATCACGGTTTACTCGCAGTTCTAAGAACATATATATACGTACAGTGTAAAAAAAAATG